ATGATGAGTATGGAACGATGATGCTGATGATGACGCGAATTATTGTGTTATTGAAGATCATGGTGGGGCTGGTGATAATGATGAGGATCACAATGTTGACAATGATGATGATTGTACTGGTGACGTTGATGCTGATGCTGATGCTGCGACTAGTGATGATGATGACGAGGTTGATGACTATTATGACTATGGTTATGATGATGTTATGGTGCTGGTGCTGATTATGCTGGTGATAATGATTACGATGAAGATGTGGACGAGAACGATGGCGAGGAGGCTGAGGAGTACGAAGATGACGACGATGACGGCGGTAATCATAATGATGCTGAACAGGGCCCGTATGCTGATTACGATGCTGCTGCTGATCCTGCTGATGCTGGTGATGCTGGTGATGACGATGGTGGTGATGATGACGACGATGAAGATGAAGATGACGTTGTTGTTGATGGGGTGTTACTGATGGTGTTGCTGATGCTAATGAGGATCATGATGCTGGCCATGACGAGGGGGAGGACGACGGGAGGATTATGGGAAGGGGAAGGAGGAGGAGGAGGAGGAGGAGGAGGAGGAGGAGAAGAAGGAGGAGGAGGAGGAGAAGCTGAGAAGGGCAAAGAAGACGGAGGGAGGAGGGAAGGCGAAGGGAAGGAGGGCATGGTGGAAAAAAATAGGGGATGAGAAGGGCGGGAGGAGGGCGGGAGAGGGAGAGGGGGAAGGGAGGGAGGCAGCGAGAGAGAGAGAAAGGGAGAGGAGAAGAAGGAGGAGGAGAAGGAGGAGGAGGAGAAGGAGGAGGTCCGTAGCCATTCTGGCTCAAGCCGGTGTGTTCCGCCCGCTTTCCGCGCGCGCGGGCCCGCTTGGGATGGGACGGGCGGAGTCGCCCCGTTGCGGCGATTCCAGGTGTGATGCTCCTGTTCGGCGATCTCGTGCGGCTCGCTCTGCTGCTCGCCGGCGGGCGTTGGCGGCGGCCGATGCTGGGCTGGCGGCTGCCCTCGCTTGTGTCGGTCGCCTTGGGGAGAGCAGTGGAAGGTCAAGACGCTGGAGTGCGACCAGCTGCACCGCCTGCTGGATGGAGACGGTGCGGAGTTCTCCCCTGGTTCGTGGCAGGACCGGGAGCGTGCCGCTCGGCCAGCCCTCCAGCGGGCGGCAGCCGGCCTTCCGGCGGCTGGCAGGGCCCGCAGGCGCCGTAATGCCGCGTGGCGCGCTGCGGTTGCCCCGTCGGTCGGCTCCGAAATCGCGTCCGGCGGCGGCATCGCGGTGGCGGCGGCTGGCCACCGCCTGGGGCTCCGGGCGGGGCCGCGCGCAGCGGCTCCTGCGGACGTCGGCGCCCTTCTCCTAGCTCTTGGCGAGGCTGCACACCTCCCCGCGGCGTGTGCACCAGTTGTGTGGCTGCCTCCAGTGGAGGCTCTGGCGGGCGCCTTCGGGGCCCACCAGACTCTAGTCTGGTACGTTGGTCTGGTACTTTAGTCTGGTACTACGCTTACGGTTAAGAAGCCGATACCCGTTTGAGAATCCCCAGTCGCCTCGGAACACCATGCCTGGAACTTCAAATCCGCGATTCAATGTGACCGTTACGTCCTGACATCACTACCTTGCGCGAGAACAGCATTGTTGGAACTTTCACAACGCGAATCAACTTGACGGTCACGGCCTGACAATCCGAAGCCGTGCCAAACACCGTTCAAGGGACTGCAGCCGCACGAAATCCTTGAAACTGCTGCAAACGTTTGAAACGAATGTGCGCAATGCTAACGCAAGAAGCACATTTGGGAAGGGAGCCGCCCTTCATCCTTGAACCTAAAGCAAACTGCTGGGAAAAATGCGCGCGGCGCCCAGGCGAGAACCGCATTTTGAAAAACAACCGCCCTCCATCCTTGAAACGGCTGCCAGCTTTTAAGACCAAGGCGCGCGGCGCCTTGGCGTGAACCGCATGTTTAAAACTGCCTGCCCTCCATCCATGAAGCTGCTGCAAACTCCTAGAGCGCGTTTCTGTATGTTCGGCGATGGCGGGGGTCATGGGGGGCGGGGGGGGGGGCGGAGGGGTATGACGTAACGCCCTCCCCCACCGTGTGGCTCCGGCACCATAGCCGCGCCCGCGCGCACGACGCGACGAGCGACGAGCGACGAGCGACGACGACGACGACGACGCGAGCAGCATGTAGGTGGCGATCTGCCCCACTGCGCCTGTGTACTCCACAACGCTCGCGTGCACCACAGCGCGCGTGTACACCACAGCGCCTGCGTACACCGCAACAGCCGTGTGCAACGCACCGCCTGTGTACACCACAATGCTTGGAAACACTACAGCGCTGGTGTACGTACACCGCAGCAGCCATGTGCAACACAGCGCTTGTGTACACCACAGTGCTTGCGTGCACCGCAGCGCCTCTGCACGCCACAGCGCCTGTCTACACCACAACATCCGCGTGCAACGCAGCGTTTGTGTACACCAAGGTGCCTGCGTGCATAGGACAGGTAGAAGGAGCATGTACGTGAGGATCTGCAG